GTTTTGAGACCAAAAGAAGATCAAATAGCGTAATTCAAATGGCGACTGAGGTTATATACGCCCAGGAGTATATAACCTCAGGGTTACAAGTCGTCCTGAGGCCATCTTGAAGCACTTCAGTGAGACGAGCGTTACTTTTAGTGTTTCTTAAAAATATTTTTACCGGTCTGAGAAAGTCTTATGGACAAGGTCAAAGTATTTTACCATAATAAACTACTCTTTAAGGCGAATAACCTGCCATCCTTGAAGGCTGAATCAAATCAATGCCCAGTAACAACTCAGGTTCTTCCACAAGGGTGGGCTTTAAGATTCACTAAAAAGGCAACGAGGTTTAGTGATTTTCCAGCGACAGTACTTAGACGCGAAATGTATAGTCGGGCAAGCAACAGTAGTTAAACTCTATCCAGTGGATGATGCACGTAATATGCGTCACGCGCGAAACCAGGAAGGGGAAAAACTCTTCACAATAAGTGAATTTTTGACCGAAAAGCAAATTCAGTCATACTTTTCAAGACGCCTCTTAAAACTTCATTCAGACGATCCAGAATCTGATCAAGACGAAGATATTATAGCCACTGAAGAGGAAATCGCGCAAGAAAATGTTCGCTCAGTTGTGTTTAACTTAGAGAAGGTGGGATTAAGGCACCCAGGTGTTTTCGACACTTTCAACTTATGTGACGCGCAAAAGGCAGGCAAACTTCGACAGCTAAGTGTTTCCACGCTGCATTCCATTTGCGAACATTTTGACATTGAAGTGATGAACATCAAAGGACGACGCAAAGCTTCTTACTCATCCCTAATTGGAGAACGTCTGGTAGCATGCAGTTGAAGTAACAGTTAGGGTCTATACCGACTAATTCAGTGAACATACCAACATCAACATTCTTTGATTTTACGTTTGGAAGCAAAAACTTATAATTGGCTGAGAAAGACGGCTTGAGGGAAATCAGGCCTTCGACTTTTATCAACTTTGTATATTCTTACCTAATTATAGAACATTACGCCTCATGACAAAATTGTACCTGCCAGGATCCCATGCCGACAAAATCCTTCAGATCCTAGGTGCCTGGTTTTTAACTATAAATATTTTATCATTTCATCACGGAGGCCTAAGGTTTTCTTCCCGTGTAATAAGCACCTATTGGGAGAGAGGTTTGGGATTTGGTGAGATTGACGGAAAGATTCTCACTTTTTTTTTTTTTAATTCCGAACAGGACATCGGCTCCTGTCCCAAGATTGATTTTCTTTGCTTTTTGTTAGTTTTTTTTTTTTTTTCCGAAAGCCTACACAGATTTATTAACGATTATGGGATTTACTAGGGAATGTTTTTTTCTGCTCTGGGCCCAAGCCGAGGCCCCCCCCGCCCCCACCCCCACATCCTTACTTGGGTCTAATCAATAAGGATGTCACGCAATTTAGTTTAGCTGAGGGATTTTGGTCTTTTTTCAACAATATATGTATATGAGGTGAGTAAATGTTTGTGCTATTCTTCTATCATTGCTTTTACGATTTCTTTCGGACAAAATGCGAAAATTGTGATAAATACTTTTCATATTTAGATAACTGGTACAAGCCATGCTTCAAAGTAAACAAATGCGCAGGTACGGGAAGTATTGTCAAGAGGTTTACAGCTCTATTTCGCACGATGAAAATGCTTTTCCTTTCAGATAATTGTCACTACGGGGTCATAATCGTTTCTTCAGTTTTTTAATTGGTGGAAAAGGATCGAGTTCTCGAAGTATTTAAACTGCTGTCCGAGTGCACTCGTGTACTGCTTGTATTCGTCATTGCAACCGCAAGTTCAAAAGTTGTAAATTTCACACAAGTACCATTGATGTTTTCAGTTCTCAAAACTTGCTGTTTGAGTTGCCCCAAAATTTTATTTCATAAATTGAAAGAAAAAGGATAGCTCTTTCTCTAGAATAGCATATGCACAACGAAAGCCACGTACCAGGAATGGATTTTTGCCGTTGAAGAATAGCAAAATTGATAGTCGCGACGAAACTGTTTTAGGGGGGTTATTTTGAAAAAAAAAATGAAAATTCAGATTGACATCTTTTGAAATAACAACAACGTTTTCATACAAAGGAAGGGTCATAAAATCATCTTTTATCGCAATAGTCAAGGTATTTGATTCCGTTTCTATTCACCACGCGAGGATGCGAAGCACATTTTTCGGTGGTTCAAGGGCTTCGCGGAGGTGAAAATTCAAAAGCATTTTTTCGGAAAATATCAATCACAAGAAACTGAATCTTGTATTTTCTAAAATTTTTTCATAAGGGCTTTAATATGAAAAATTTTGGGAGATCTCGATTTTTCCATCTTGCACACCTATCCGTGATATTTACAGAAAGTCGCTCTTAATTTCCCTAACAATAGCAACACTGTTTCACACGTTTCCCATACAGTCTAATGATCTTGCACAGGACCTGAACTCAACCTTAGCTTATCTTGTAGTCTCTGGAATGTTAATTGGAAATCAGAACTATGACAGAGTCACCAAAGGTGTACCTCAATATTACAGTGTTAGAGAGGGTGTAGCTAGTCTTAATTTTCTTGGTAGTGTCACCATTGGTGATGAACTACCCGTCAGCATCATGGAGAAAGAAGTCCCAATACCATCTCAACCTCATCATCTGGACCTTGCTCTTACATGTCGCAAAACAATGAAGTCTGTATACTTTTATACTGGGAGGAAATACTGTTTCTTTCATCACAATGCAACAAAGCCAGATCTTACTTAGTGGCAGTCACTTGCATGGGAACACTGGAGCTCTTGTAGCCCAGACTAGCTAGGAGAGAAAACCTTCCCGCGCTTTTAATCTGGTTCAGATCTTTCAATGCCTTCCAGTATACAATGGGAGCTGTGACAAAAATAACATATAATTGAGAGAGGTGAAGGTTGAAAACTGTTATGGCCGCACAACAAGTTCAATCGCCGAAAGCAAGCTCAGATAAACTTTTTAACCAGGCAACGTTCTTAATCTTGTTCGATCATAATTTTCTTAACAGCACAAACTTGAGTTTATACTGGCTGCTCTTCGACATATAATATACACGTTTGCACATATTTTTATGAGCATAATGACTCGGTAAATACTGCTTTGGACCTCATTACTTGTATTTTAAGATCGTACAGAAAACCCGTTCTGTGGGATTTTCGGTTCTGCAGTTTTGACTATTTTTCAGATTGGTTTTTCGATTTTTGTGCTGAAAAACGTCGCTTTTTAGGTTTAGGTATTCATTACGGTTTGCGGATTTTCCGTTTTAAAGCATTTGGTGTTCGGTTTTCGCGGAAAATACTAACGAGTTTTCGGATTTGATATCGATGCAGTTTTCGGTTTTTCCTATTTGAACTATTTGGGAGCATTTGTCACAGTTGCCATAAAATAGGACCGATTTTAAAGTTCGAATTATATAAGCGCGTGTGTTTTTTTTTTTTTTCCAGTGCCTTTTCATTAATCCATAAACGACAAGAAACTGTCTTTGGTTTTCTATTAATCAATAAATTAAGTAAACTAGATCTTCGTATTAGTGTAATCAATTGGATTATTGGCAATCTCATTTCCGAGACCCTAAATTTCAAAATTTTCTGGGGGAGCATGCCCCCAGAACCCCCAGTTCGGGATGCCTTCGGCGCTCTCAATTTCCGCGCCTTGTATACACCTTCGAAATCTCACGCTACGTCCCTGCTATATATATAATTTATGGCTCGTGTAGGATGATACACACTTAAAGAAGTCTTACAGTCCTTACACACTTACAATACGCGATATCTACACCTATGGAATATTGGAAATTCGTGATCGGTGAGTAAGATCCTGACTAATTACCATGAGCGTCTGTTCCATGGCGGAGAAGCAACGAAAAAGAAGAAAAGGAGGGTTTCAAGGCGCTTCACTCTTATCGGACCTCGAGAGAGCAGCTGAAATTAAGGCTATGATTTAAGCAGATACTAGAAGATATGAATGCCAAGTCCATGGTATTCACAAATACTGAAATGAAATTAGTGTAGTTTACTCTGTATGCTCCAGTTGTCGCCCCTGTATCGGATCGATCATCAGGGTTTTAATAACTGGGATCAGCTGGGGCAGATCCAGGATTTAGTCAAGGGGGGTTCGGAGGGGGGTTCATAGAATTGTTCCTCTTCTGAGGGGTCCAAGATTTTGAAAATCAGGTCTTCGGAAACATGATTTCCAGCGTTCTGAGGGAAATTTTAGGGGGTTTGACCGAACCACCCGAACACCCCTGCATCCGCCCCAGGGATGTGAAAATGTATCGGTTTTGTCAGTTTTGAATGCGGTTTTCGGTTTTGATCGATTTTTTTTTTTTTCCCTTTTTCAGTCTCGGATAATTTTTCTACGGTTTTGCGGTTTCTACTAAGCTCCAATACCCCCCTCTGAGAGACATGAACGGTTTCGCTACACTCATTTTACTGTCTGTCCTATGAGTATAATTACAGAATGGTTATTCGTCAAACAAGTGAAGTCTACGTGATCGACGGAGCTAACATATTTTATCTCAAAAATTTCATTTATCTTAATTACAAGGTGAGCTTAGGATTCGGGATTCATTTCGGGAAGATTTCCATATAACCCCAACATTAATTATGCATAGAGTGTTGCAAAAAAAGCTTTATATATAGTCTTTATGAAATGGAATGCATAATTAATGTATGAGGTTATATGGAAGTCTTTCCTGGTTTATAATACACTTAAGCTTGAAGAAACCATCAGCTTATAGTTGAAGCTTGAATGAGGTGGTTTCATCTCTCGACGCAGGGCATGGGCAAACAACACCTCGAAGCAACAGAACGGGCCGGAAAATCAAACGAGTTATCATTTTCGGCGAATTACCGTTTTCGGCGCCAAAGCTCAACGCATGCGCAGAGGTTACTCAGCTCTGTCGCATGCGCAGAGGTTACTCAGCTCTGTCGCATGCGCAGAGGTTACTCAGCTCTGTCGCATGCGCAGACGTTCTCAGTTAAGATGCGCAGTGAATCAAACATCGTTAGGGAACAACGTATTACAAGAGAAAGATGACGGCGACTCTCCATCCTTCGACTAGGAAAAGGAACTTCATTGCTCAAACTTCCTCTGTTGAGCCTTCACGATACAACTTGAGAAAATGTCGAAAAATATCGGCATCCACCATTCAAGTCAGCTCAAGTTCGAATCCTTTAGTGGTGAGTTTTCTGGTAATCTTTCAAGCGAACATTGGATTGGAAATATTGACATTTTTAATGTTTTACCGGTCAATTAAAAGGTCCCAAAGCATGAAGTGCTACTTACTGAGGATTGCAAAAGCTGCGTAAATTCAAAGTGGAAAATACCCACTCCCGGGTCGCTGCAAAAATATGCATCGCATACTCAGGTTAGATTTCTTTATCAATGTTATTGTTATTTTTAAGTTCTGAATAGGGTTTAGCGATTTCAAGCACCAAATTGCAAGTTAGATTCTTCATTTTTTTTGCATTGCAGCTTGTTTAGGGTTTAAAGTAGGGAAACCTTGAGATCAATCGGTAACGGGTGGTAGTTGATGGAACTACGAGTAGTCAACTTTAAAACAACACCGCTATTAACATGTTACATCCACATTTCATGGTTCAGACGTTCACATTATCTTTTCCCTGATTTCTAAAGCTTTTGCGCCCGCCAGTTTGCACCCATCACGCAGAGTTCATCCCAAAGAGTTCACTTTGTCAAACACGAAAAGTTCTCCCCCACCTTTACCAGTCTACTCCCAAATATTTAAACTTGTTTCCCTGGGGCAGAATGTGTTCTAGGGGAAACTTGGGTGGATTCAGTTTAAAAATGCAAGCAACTTGTAGCCTACATCTCTAATCTATGAAAAGTAGGATAACTGTTAAAAAGGCTGCTCCTGAAGGAGTGCTATTACCCTCATTGAAAGTTGGCTTGAGGTTATGAAACTGAGTTTCAAAAGCAAACTGAACAATGGAGCTGCTTAAGGAGCCCACATGTTTATTAAAAGTAGATGATGATACAATCAGAGAAGAAACCTTTTGTGCTGTTGGAAACGAGTCAGAGATTTTGGAATGAACTAGTCAATATGGGGAAGTGAACTTGTTACTTGGCCATACGATGGAAAAGCCCAAGTTTAAAATTGCTCTGCAGTAATTGTCTATTGTCATAAAAGGCACTTCCAGCTTTTCAGGGTAGGTTCTGATGGTCAGGCTCCAACAGCCTAAACAAAAGTCCTCTTTAAGGATTTTGTGATTATTGTTCGAAATGTCTTTTTACCGGCTAAAGTACAAATTCTTGTCAGTATGTTCTTGGAAACTTGAAACTATTTGACCTTGAAGTGGGGTGTTTAATAAGACAAGACTTGTATCTAACAGTAGCTTATTAACATTGTGTGACATTTGCATTACAATGCAATATTTTCAGGGTTTTCTCCTGCTTGCAATTGAAAACAAACCTTTAAGTTTTCTGCCCTAAAATGATATGCTGTATTTTTATTTTCAAGGTCAAAAATCTAAGTTTTCCATGAAGAAGTGAAAATTAAGACAGACAGAAATTTGCCTAAAAGTTAATCTCTTATTTCTGAGAATGTATTGAAAACACAGTGAATTATAAAAAAAATTCAAAGCGAAATGTAACTGCATGCTGTGAAGTTTATAAGTGCTTGTTCATATCACCACATTTTAAGCATACACAAGGGCTTGATTTAGATCTATAGAAGTATTTTGCCATATTTTGTACATTGCGTTGAAAGTGAAATCTTGTTTTTAACTGACCTTTATCTTAATGTTGAGTTTGAAGGGAGATCTAGTAGACCAAAGGAACACCAAAGAGCTTTGAAGAATTGCTCAATAAAAACACCACTATCTTGGAAAGCCATGTGTGTAACAAACAGGATAACACTTGCCAGCTCACTAGGCCACTGTAATCGATGAAAACAAAAGTTCAGCACTGTAAATAGCAGTGACGCTTTAAGAAAAAATGTTTGTCCTCCAGATCAGAATACACAATAGTAATCAACTTCAGCAGGCTTGAGTTTAAACCACTTAAAGTGTATTATTTCAAACTTTTTTGCTGACGAAGGATGCACTGAAAACTGATGAGACTTATATTAATAATTAGGACTGGTTTTATAAACTCAGTTTCCTTACAGACCTCAGGCAATTGTTATATGAATTTCTTGGTTTGTTTGGGTTAGGTCTTGGTGTATGACTCATTTATAAGTCAAGGGTGATATTTTGGACTGCCTTTTTTGTCATGTCGTCGTATTTTTAGAATTTTCAAACTAATGCAATGCAATTTTCTGGCCATAAAGTCAAGTAAACAACAATATAACCACGATGAATTCCACTGCATGCGCTTTGTACACATAAGAAATTTGCGTGTTTTTTGCTTTTAACAGCAAGTCAAGAACTGCTTTAAATAGAGCTTTTGTCCTGAAAGACTTCTTGCTCACTTTCTTCTTGCTTCTCATTGAAAAATTCCATGTAACATGAGATTTCTTCACAGGTGGCTAGATTGGCATATTCACTTTGAAATCTGATCCACATGCCTGTTTGCACACTTGCAAAAACATTTAGCAATTTTTGTCTTTCCTCTTGATTTTAGAGTAAAAAATTAATATGCACCTACAATTTTTCATTAAAAATGAGTTATTTAATCAAAGCTTTAAAGGTGTTACTTTTTTGTTGTGTTTTAACTTGGGCAAATTAGTACGTACGTGACAAACAATGGAATTTGTGTACAATACGTGCCCCAGTTTTGATGGTTATTTTTGTGGGAGTAAAGTGCATATTATACACAGGTAAATATGGCAACCATTTTAGAGGTAGACATCAGAATGCATGTTCTCTTTACTGTTCACTACACATTTCCCATGTTACTTACAAGGATAATTTTTCCACAACCTTGACCTTTTTGAGTTTGTGAACATTCCCTTTGTTCTCACAATTGTAATACTTGATTCACTCTTAGGAAGGAAAGAGTAAATGAAAACTCTGAAATTTATTAAATGCAAATGAAAGCAACTGAAGCAGATAAGAAACAAAATGCATCTTGTGTTTTCCCAGACACTAATTTTTTTTTGCTTCCGGGCTGCAATTCAATGAAAAAAAAAAATAATAAAAGCAGTCTGTTGCAATATTTCACAAACCATAATTTTTATGCACATTCTTTTATTTTGATTTTCTTTGTTGTTTATTATCAGGATGATTTGAGAAAAATATTTCAAGGACGAAGGCACAGAAACATCCAGTTGAGGCATTCTGAGGTGGGCTGTTTAACTTCCATTGTGCAATTTTTTACTACAGCGCAATCCAGAGTGAATGATTTAATTAGAACATAGTAGTCAAATCCATCATGGCCATCAGGTATGCTCCTCAGCTGAAGTTTGCTGCATATGTGAGACTTACCATGTGTGGCAATGCTATGGCTTGGGTTGTTACTCCATTTATTTCAGTTACAAAGATTTAGCCTCAGCATACACCTGGAAGCTATTAATACTGTTCCATAGAATTTCAATCAGATAAAAGTTTAGTCATGTTTTGTGTTGTGAAGTGATTTAATTGTTGAGGCTGTGATAAGCTGGCTTTCACCAAATTGTTGGGCTATTTCTTGACAGGGCAAGACTCTTTGCTATTATTCTTTTGTCATTTTTACATTTAATGGTGTCTTTCCTCTCTTTTGGGCTGTTATGTTGCTTTTGTTTTCACAAATTAAGTAACAAATTAATTCAGTTGTAATGTGTCAATGCGTCCCAGGTATATAGCATGCTAACTTCCTCATCACTGTTGTTGTTTTGTTGTTGTAATAAGTAATTTGTTGCTATTATTCTGTTGTCACTTTTACATTTAATGGTGTCTTTCTTCTCTTTTGGGCTGCTATGTTGCTTTTGTTGCCACAAATTAAGTAACCAATTAATTCAGCTGTGATGTGTCAATGCGTCCCAGGTATGTAGCATGCTAACTCCCTTGTCACTCTTTTTGTTTTGTTGTTATAATAAGTAATTCATGTTCTGGCATCTTTGCCTATTGAGAACCTGGTTTAATTCAATTTGAAGTCTTTGTATACTTAATAGGCTAGTTTCGAACTGTTAGTGCGAGAAAGTCTGGTAACTAATTAAGAGCACCAAGTCGAGGCTGAGGGGAATAAGTGCTTATTTTGAAAGCAGATCGGAGAGACTTTAAGTGTGATATGAGGTTTTGTGCGATCGCTGTGTGCAAAAGCAACTCTAAAAAAATGGCCGGATCTCAACTTTTTCGAGTTTCCAGGTGAAGAGAGACTTAAAAAGAAAAATGGATTCCCTTCTGTCGTCGGGCTGATAAGGAGTTTACGTCAATCAAGAAGTTACACATATGCTCTGAACACTTTGAGAGGAAACAAATCGTAAAGAAACTTTCTGGGAGCAAAAAATTAGTACAAGGGACAGTTCCAACAATGTTTAATCCATATTCAGACCCTAGATGTCCGAATCAACGCGAGGAAAGGTCCAGTGAGCGAAGAAAAAT